GAAAGTGTGTGACACTGATTTGGCAGAGACGGCAGCTGCACCGAAGAGCGTGTTTTGCAACTGCTGCCGCTCCGTGCACTGCAAGCTCTCCTTTTCTCCCTGCCTCTCTCCCTGCTCTGTCTGTGCCCCGTCTGCAGGCTGAGGACCGTAGCCGGCAGGCGACAGCCTCCCCTCGCAGCAGCCGTCTCCACCAGCCCCAGGCGCCCCTCAGCCTGCTACAGCTGCCACTCTTCTCCCAGCCAAATCCGTCTCCTGGGAGAGCCCGCCACCCTCTCGCCGCCTCCACTCCAAAGCACCCGTCCCCTTGCAGCGTCCAGGCCTCCCACGCACACGCACCCCATCTCCCCCGTGTGCTAGCATCACCCGCCTTCTGCCGCTTGGCCCTTCTATGGGCCAGTTGCCAACATGAGCGCGGATGCTGACCATCTCCCAACAGGAGCCCAGGCGGTGAGCGTGCCCCTATGGACCGCGTCCAGTTGGACAGCTTCCGAGGTCCCTCCCAACACGAGTGCCTCCTTGGCGGAGGTAGACCAGCGAGGGGCGGTTGAGTGGGGTGGCAAGGCAGGTGAGATTGCAGGGATGGTGGTAATCCAGTGCATCTATGCCCTGGTGTGTCTGCTCGGGTTGTTGGGCAACTCCCTGGTGATCTTCGTGATCTTGCGCTATGCAAAGATGAAGACAGCCACCAACATCTACCTGCTCAACTTGGCCATCGCTGACGAACTCTTCATGCTCAGCATCCCCTTCGTGGCCACGTCGGCTGCCCTGCACCACTGGCCCTTTGGCCGGGCCCTGTGCCGTACCGTGCTGGGTGTAGATGGGCTTAACATGTTCACTAGTGTCTTCTGCTTGACTGTGCTCAGCCTGGACCGCTACATCGCAGTGGTGCACCCGCTTCGAGCAGCCACCTACCGCCGGCCTCGCGTGGCCAAGATGGTCAATGGGGGCGTGTGGCTACTCTCGTTGCTGGTAGCCTCACCCATCCCCATCTTTGCTGGTACGGCAACTACCCACGATGGCCAGGCAGTGGCATGCAACCTGTTGTGGCCGAGCCCGGCCTGGTCAGCCGCTTTTGTCGTCTATACGACCTTACTGGGTTTCCTGCTGCCGGTGCTAGCCATGGGTCTGTGCTACCTGCTGATTGTGGGCAAGATGCGGGCAGTGGCTCAGCGGGTGGGCTGGCAGCAGCGCCGACGCTCCGAGGGCAAGCTCACGCGGCTGGTGCTCATGGTGGTCGCCATGTTTGTGGTGTGCTGGATGCCCTTCTACGTGGTCCAGCTGGTGAATCTCCTGCTGCCTGGCCGCTTGGATGCCACTGTGAACAATGCCTCCCTCATCCTCAGCTACTCCAACAGCTGCGCCAACCCCATCCTCTACGGCTTCCTCTCCGAGAATTTCCGGCACTCCTTCCACGGCGTGCTGCGACGGTGCTTCGACACCAGCTCCTGCTGCTGCCACACTGACTCGGAGACAGCGGAGGAGGAGGAGGAAGAGGAGCCTCTTGACTACTGCGCCACTCCCCGGGGGGACGACAAGAACAAGGGCTGCATGTGCCCACCGCTGCCCTGCCAGCAGGAGCCGGTGCACCCCGAGCCCTGCTGCAAGCCTGGCCCCCTCCTTACAAAGACCACCACCTTCTAAGGCGCTCAGCTCCCCGCAGCCTCTTCTTTGAGACCTCTGATTGGGCATCTCCGTCAGGCACAGGCACCCTCAGGTCTTCCTCCATCCTGACAAAGGGAAGGACGAGCAAACACCGTGGCCGGAGAGAGAGCAAATTCCTGTGCCTGCTGTTCTCATTTACCCTGTACACTGACACGAGCGACTCCAGTCTGCGCGGTGTCCCCAGTGGGAGAGCAACTGGCTTTTTCCTTCGATCTCTGGCCGAGCTGGGGGTTGAACCAGTGGTGGGATCAGATTCTGCCACCGTGGAGCCTACTGCCACACTCCAGGCACTACTTCTCCTGCAAGAACCTGTGGGAAACCCACCCTGGGGTATCTGTTTTCTCTCTGTCCCTTCCGCCGCGCTCTGCCGGAGCTCTCCGTGGGGTTTCCTCCGCTTTCACGTTTCTTGGGAATCTACTGGCCAGGGGCGGCTGGAAGCACTGGCTCCCAACCCTGCGACAGGTAACCTCACTGGGAGTTTTCCATCTGCTTTCACTGGGGATAAGACCTAACCCCAGGCTGGTATGTAAAATGCAAAAGACAGAGATGCTAAACTTCTTCCGTCTCTTGCGAGAAGGGGTATGACGTGCACAGCCACAGCTGCCGGGCCCTGCTGAAACCCTCGCCGTTTACCCACTGCAGTTCCTTTCCAAAGGGGGGGGGTGGGAAAAAGCTATCGTTTGCAAAGAGTACGGTGGCCACGCTGACCCAACGGGACCGATTCAGATCCCGCTCCTGCTCTTATTTATGCGATGACAGTTTTGCCACTGGGAGAGCTGTGACTGGAACAAGAGGCCGGGAGGTGCCGGCTTTGGGAGCGTCTTTGAGGTGGGGTGCGTTTGCCTGAGCGCGGAGGTGTCACATCCTTAAAAAGGAGCAACGTCACACGTAACTGCTTCGCAGTTGCGCCATGAACGGCTGGCCGTCAGTTGTGCTGTGCAGTTCAGCAAAATAGAAAGCCATAACACTGGCCCGTAATACAGTTAATAGCATCTACTGGATAGTTGTGATGATTACCTTCACCACCTAGGAGGCTCAGTGATAGCCACCAATTCTCCCACGCGAGGCCGGCGCCCAACAAAAAAGACTAACTGCTCTGCAGGGGCAGCGTGGCGTTTCAGCAGCACTTTGCACGGGGCAGTGGGGAAGGCAAGCGAGCCTGGAGCCGGAGTATGTGGATTGCTAAAGCGTGAGGCTTTTGAGTTTCTTATCTATGTATATGTGTGTGTGTGTGTGTGTGTGTATATAAATATATATATGTACATATAGAAAGGCAATATTTTTACTTAATGTTTGCAACTCTAATGGTAAAACCTGTTAAGCCGAGAACATGTTGGCTCCCTTTCAGCTTTTCAATGCCTTTCCCAATTACAAGCAATAGGCAGAGAGAAGGCGGCTTGCAGGGTCTGCGGCCCTGCCGCTGGCGAAGGCCCCGCAGCCCCAAGCGAGCG